GGGGGGGGTCCTGGGGGGAGGGATTGGTTTTTACTGCTTGCAAAGTGGGTTATTTTTGGTTTTGGACTGGTCTGTGTATTTCATAATTTTCATTTCTATCTTATATTTAAATGTAGCTCTTTGTGTAGTGAGTTCTAAAATGCCTAACTTATCATGGCTGGAGTAATTATCCCTGTGGTCATTGCTGCTCCTGGCAGTGCTTGACATGTCCCTGCAGCTCTGAGAGGTTTTTACTGCTTGCAAAGTGGGTTATTTTTGGTTTTGGACTGGTCTGTGTATTTCATAATTTTCATTTCTATCTTATATTTAAATGTAGCTCTTTGTGTAGTGAGTTCTAAAATGCCTAACTTATCATGGCTGGAGTAATTATCCCTGTGGTCATTGCTGCTCCTGGCAGTGCTTGACATGTCCCTGCAGCTCTGAGAGAGGCACAGCAGGAAGGTCTCCACATGTCGCTGCTTGCAGACACCACCCCTGCAGGGCCCATTGATCAGCCAGTAGAAGCTGTGGGCTCAGTGCCTGTAGATGAGGGGCAGCACATGGTGCTATGGAGCCATTGCTGTTCATGCCAGCTGCTTTCAGGAGTGGCACAGGGCCAGGGCAGTAAGCCTGCCTTAACCACACTGCTCCACCACCCGGAAGCTGTCTCAGTTAAATGATGCCCAGCCAGAGCCTGCTTCCTGAACCCCTGTCCCAGTCCCAAATCCCTTCCTTCACCCAACCTCCTGCCCCAGATGTGAGACCCCTTGCATCCAAACTCCTTCCCAGAGCTTGCCCCCAGAAACTTCCTGGACCCCAATCCCGCTAAGCCTGGAGCCCTTCCCTTACTCCAAACCCCTTGGCCTAAGACCAGAGCCTGCTCCCCAACCCTCTGCTCCAGCCTGATGAAAGTGAATGAGGTTCAGGGAGGAAGGAGGTTGGAGTGAGCAGCGTGAGGCCTTAAAGAAGGGATGGGGCCTTAAAGATGGGGCAGGAAGGAAGTGGGGCAGGAGTATTTGGGTTTGAGGTAGATCTTACATTGCACTTAAATTGAAAAAGTGATCTTGTGGTTAAAAAGGTTGGAGACCATTGTTCTAGTGTAACCTCCTAATTTAAAAATATGCCTGGGTATATTGGTAAATGCATCTTTTACTGTAAGGGTCTCTTCTACCTCAAGAGCCAGAGGGAATATTTTGGTTGTCTGGGTTTAAAATACTTCCATATGTACGTATACAATGCTCTTCAAAGTAGGTCTTGTAAATCTTATGAGGAGTCAGGCCAAGTGATTTCTTTAAAAGAGACTCTACTCTTGTAACAGGCAAGGGGCTTAGTCAGACTTGCTGGAAAGCAACTCTTCACTGCAGGCAAAGATTGTTAAATCACTCTGCATTATGTGATGATGTAGTCTATACTTTGAGTCTCCAACTTTTGCAGCATCGTAGAAAAATGGGTTTTGAATTTTCTGAGCTTGTGGCCCTTTAAGACTCTTGTTGATTTACATTCCAGGAATCCACCATGTCGACTCAAATGTACATTGTGTGTTGAATACTATCCAAATATCCAACATATGGATTCAGGTCTTCTTTGGAAAATATTTGATTTCTCTGAGGCTGTGTCCAGACTCAGGGTTTTTTTTTAAAAAAGTAGCCTTTTTTCAAAAAAACTTCACCTGCGCCTAGACTACAGCTGCTTTCTTTCAAAATTAAATCGAAAGAACGCGGCTTTTCTTTCGACGGCGGTAAACCTCATTTCACGAGGAAGAATGCCTTTTTTCGAAAGTGCTCTTTCGAAAAAAGGCGTTCTTGAATGCCAACAGGGCTTTTTTAGAAAGAGAGCATCCAGACTCACTCGCTGCTTTCTTTCGAAAAAGCGACTTGCTTTTTCGAAAGTTCCGCTTGCAGTCTAGACGCTCTTTTTCGAAAGAGGCTTTTTTGAAAGATGCTTTCGAAAAAGCCTCTTTCGAAAGAGGCTTGCAGTCTAGACATAGCCTGAGGGATTATTTTGATTCCTGTCTGTAATTCCTCAACCATTGGTAACCCATTGTCTCTATTTTATAGGGCTTCATTTATTTTTAAGGGAATTAGAGGTAAATTCAAATGATATTATACCTACTTCAGAAGAATGGGTTATGATAGGGGTGGACAGACTCCGGGCCGCAGGCAGAATCCATCCCGCCAAGCATTTCTTTCTGGCCCACCCTGCTGATTAGCTGAGAGTACATATTTACAGCCTGCAGCCTATGTTCAGCTGTCCTGCCCTCCACCTTGCTCTGTCCTGCAGCCCAGCTGCTTCCAGGATTCTCCTGCTAGCTCTGCAGAGAGGACTTGGGGAGTGTGGAAAGGGGAGGGGAGTGCTGAAGTCAGGGTGTCCCTCTGCCCCTGGGTCAGGGAGAGGGAGATGCAGGGGAGCTGCTTCAATCTGAAGCATGGATGGTAATTTACTCAGAGAAGTGCCTGTCTTAAGAGGCAGTGCACTGTTTCTAAGATGTTAGTGCTCTTGTGCTGTCTCACGCGTGTGCGCGCACACACAGCCCTCCCCCTCTCCCATACAGCATTGCTGCACAGAAGGGGAGGGGGGAGACAACAGAGCAGAACAGCTTTCCCTGTCTTAAAGAGACATGTGTGGCTTCTCTCAGAAACTTACCCAGCAGCAGCCAGCACATGCACTGTGTCACTGCCACACTGCCCCTGTGCTACACACATACACTGTTACAAACACTCTCCAATCTCTGTGCCATACACACTCAGGTGTGTAGAATCTCTCTGTCCAGGGGCAGATGACCATTTTGCGGGGCCCAGGGCAGCACAATTTCGCAGGGCCCCCCTTTGCCACGGCGCATGCACGGGGCTTTTTGAAGCGCGGGGCCCGGGGCGGCCACCCTGCTTGACCTGCCCTATATCCGCCCGTCTCTCTCTCTCTCTCTCTCTCTCTCTCTCTCTCTCTGTGGCCCTGCCCTTACCTGGAGCCGCAGAGCCTGCCATGTACCAAAATTCGTAAAGTGGGCTTCCTGCGAAAATTATTGCTCACCCTGGGTTATGACATACCTGTGCCTGTAGATAAAGTAATGAACTGCACACACGCGCCATTTACTTTTGAGGATATTCTGCACCAAAAAATTAAATATTATACGCATGATATTTTAAAATTTTGCAAATTGTATTTATCATTAAATAAATATGGCTCCAGCATGGCAGTGGGATGCATAGGCCACTGGCTGCATTGAGGAAGATTGCCCTGAAGCCCCTATGCCTCCAATATGGGACTTGGAAATGAGACTGTGCCCACCCTGACATAGTTCAAGGGCTGGGCCTGCCCATGAAACACCCTGGGACCTTGCTTCACTATGCCGTGTGCACCAGGTGTAGATGGGCAGGCTCAGCCCAGTGGAATCCAAAGGTGGATGGGCTTCGTGTTGGGGGGATCCGGGTGAGAGGTTTTCTGTGGAAAAGTCTGGATTATGGATGTTAAATTTACATTAATCAGCTAATCAAAAAGTTGATTAGTCGATAAGAGTTTCTTTGCCCCAGGGCTGTTGCTACACTTCAAAGGCGAAAGTGCTGCAGGGAGCACGGAACCAGCGGGGGACTCAAGTCGTTCCCCGCTGGTCCTGTGCTCCCTGTGGAGTTTCACAATGCAGCGCTGCATGGAGCCTGAGGTCACCTTGGGTCTCTGAGTCAGGCTCCAGGCGGCATTTCAAAGTAGCAGCGCCATACGGAGCCTGGGTTCAGTGCGGGAGTCCCCAGCTGGCCTTGGGCTGTACGTGGCATTACTGCTTTGAAGCACTCCCTCTTTTTCTTCCCCTCCCCCCCCCGCCCCGGGGGAATCAACTAGTTGACTAATGTCAGCTATCCGATAAGTATGTGCTTATTGGATAGTCGACTACTTGTCACATCCCTAGTCTGGATGGGGGTGGCTCAATGGGAGATCTGGATGCACAGGGGCTCATTGTGTAGTTCTGGCCACAAGGGACAATAAGACTTTGCAAGGAATCCAGGTGAAGGTGATTGGTGCGCTCAGCAGGGAGATCTGGGTGTGGAGAGATGGGGCTTGGTGGGGTGGGCCTGGGTGTGGGGAGCTTATCGGAAGGTCCGTGTGTATGGGGAATAAGGCTACAGGTGAGGGTTCAATTAGGGAAGTTAAGTATTGGGTAATTGAATGGTTGTGTAACCTTGTGAAATCTTAGTGGTTACATGACTATTCAATAGTCACCGGGGGAGGGGCAAGCAGCCAGCGCACTCCCGACCTCGCTCCCGGGGAGCCCCCTGCCATCCTGCACTGCTGCCTCTGTATCAAAGGCAGCACTGAGGGGTGGCAGCCTGGCGTCAGTACACCAGGGGAGCCAGCTGAAAATCCAGCTCCTTGTGCAGACTGGCTGCCTCCCGCTCCGTGTGGTGGGAGGCAGCAGCACAGGGTGGCAATAGCCCCTGTCCGTGGGTGGTCCAAGCTCTGCACAGACAGAGGTTGCTCTGTGAGCTGCTGCACTAAGATGGTTTGCGTGGAGATAAGTCACAGCCTATTTCAAAGGACAGGTATGAACACCATTGCATGTGGTACACTTGTAGGCAGCCTCATTGGAGGAATTGTGGATTCAGTGGCTATGGAGACTAAACTGCTCAGCCCCCACAAGAAGAAGTCCCTTTAATATGAGGCTTTCAGCACTCTGCTGGACACAAAGGAATGTTTGAGTAGCCGTTGCCCCATTTTATCTTTTCTGTGCAGGATCTGGGTTGTCATTGTGGCATTTTGTCTCCTGGGTTGTCATTGTGGCACTTTGCACTAATCTATACTAAGAAAAATGTTAAGGGGGAGTGAGACTTGTACAATGGAATTTTTCTTTTAAAGGCAGTAACCATACCTAGAAAAAGAATTTGTAACAGTGCTGAGTGACCCGGACCCTTGGAGTTGCACAGATAGTTGGTTCTGCCTTTGAGCTTCTGTTTGATCACTGACTGTTTTATTTCCCTCTCTCCCCTTGCTCACCTTTTATTGTAGATCAAAAAACAGCAGCAAGATGTGCTAGGCTTCTTGGAAGCCAACAAGATTGAATTTGAAGAAAAAGATATCGCAGCCAATGAAGAGAACCGGAAATGGATGAGAGAGAACGTCCCTGAAGAGAGCCGACCAGCCAGTGGAAATCCATTGCCCCCTCGAATCTTCAATGATAGCCGATATCTTGGGGTAAGAAACCATTTAAGCTTCTCCTCAGCCTCCTTATTCTGATTTCCCTGGACTTAATCCCACTGCTAACCACGATACTGCTTTTATTGTTGCATGTGCCAGAAACAGCAGAAAAGGCATAAATTATGTGTAGTGTGTGGCAAGAGGTGCCCTTTTGTCTGCAAAGAGAAAGGGAGTTTGCTTGTAACTATGTCAAAATTTGAACCTAAATCTTAAGTATACTAACTAAGCTTGCACATTAAACTTTTGTATCCCATGGCCCTTAAATATAACATGAAAAGCTTTTTGCACTGTCGCGTGGAATGATTAATAAATGAGGGACTGATGGCTAAGAAAGAACTAATAATGAAGAGATGCATGTATGTAGTAACTAATTATTCACATATATATGGATACTTTTTTAGAGCTCTCATATAACATAATCGCACCTTTTCCACAGCACTGCAGAGCCCATGTGTATGCCTGCAAGCTCACCAATGTACTGTAGCCACCTTTACATTGAAGAGCTATAGCTGTCAAATGAAGCATGGCAATATTACACAGTGGTTTAGCACAGGAAATGAAGAACATTGTGCCCAGCTGTAATGATGGCAGATGCCTCTCTACCATATGTGTGTCTAGGGCACCCAGCATAGTATCAGAGTTCCATGTACAGAATGAGGGTTGCACAGAATTACAGAGTAATTGATAATAGACTGTTCTTTGCTTCTTCCTGGCTTGGTGGCATTTGCTTATTGTATTTTGTTGTAATTTGTTGTGTACTAATCAAAGGTTTTTCCAGGACATCTATCAGTGTCCTCTACAAAAGACAATCTGAGTGTTCAGTTCTCTCTCCTCTGGTAAGCTGCCCATAGTTAGGCTTTGGATTTACTACAGGCTATGGTGAGCCCAGTTTGGTCTTTAGCTGCCAGAGCCGGGGAGAGCAGGCCTGAAGGAAAGTGTGATGTATATATCACGAAGAGAGCAAGAGCGAGCTTGAAACAAGAGAGAAGGCCTTACTGGCAACTACATGGATTGCTCTAGAAAAAAACATTAAGTAAAAATCAGTCCCCATCTCCAGGAGAATAGGAGATTTCCCTCCAGGTTAAAATGAAATTAAAGCCCTTAGCCATCTCTTTTCCTTAACCTTTAATTGCTGACTCCTCCCAAATCACTGGTGCTTGGATCCTAAAATCTCAGGGATATCACAACATGACTTTTTCTCTTTCATCATGTTCTAGTTCAGGCAATGAAAATACTACACTAGGAGCACCCAGACTGGCAGGGCTGTGTGCTGCACTGAAGTTGTACAGTGTTTGATATGTGGAAGGGCCCCCTGACACTTGAGGCACTCAAGTTTCATAATGCAGTGGTGAAGTCTTGGAATGATGGGCCTGTTCCTGCAAGGTGCTGAGCTCTCCTGGAACTGTTGAGCACCCTCTGCTCCCACTGAGCGAGATAAGTTCACTTGCACATTACAGTATGGATCCCAGTGTTTAGTATAGGAGGAAGCTGAAGATCCCAAAGTCATCCTCTTACAAGGAAATTTTTAAAGCTTTGTAGCACAGAAGTGCAAAGCAGTTGTGTAAGTGTCCTTAGGTTAGATTTTAGAGACACCTGCTGATGTCGCTTTCAATGTATGTGAATGTAGCAGATCAAGAAGAAGGTGGTATGTTATCCAGAGAGGCGTTGCTACATTCCTCAGACCTTATCAATCCTCTATTTAGAGACTAAAATTGGCAGGGACTACTTGGGTCATCACAACCAGTTCCTCTCCTATTGCAGGCAACACCTTCATAAATGAATCCTCTTTAAACTAGGCTGGTTCTTTATCTTAGCTATTCCCTTTGGGAGGCTGTTCCAGAACCTCACCCCTCTGATGGTTAGAAATCTTTTTCTAATCTCCAGCGTAAATGTATTAATGGCCATTTTATACTCAGAAATAAGAAATAATGGAGATTGCCCATCTCCTAGAACTGGAAAGGACCTTGAAAGGTCATCTAGTCTAGTCCCCTGCCTTCCCACCAGGACCAAGTACCATCCCTGACAAATTTTTGCCCCAAATCCCTAAATGGCCTCCACAAGGATTGAACTCACAACCTTGGGTTTAGCAGGCCAATGCTCAAACCACTGAGCTATCCCTCCCCCCTGTTTGCACTCATACCAGTTTTGTCCTTTTGCTTAAATAAGCTCTTCTTCCATAGAGTTTACCCCTCTGACGTAATTATAGAGAGCCATTGTATTTCCTCTCAGCTTTCATTTTGCTAAGTCAAACAAGCCAAGCTCCTTGTGGTCTCCTCTCATAAAATAGGTTCTCTGTTCCCCTTATAATTCTTTTAGCTCTTGTTCTACTTTGAATTCATCTTTCTTGAACATGGATGACCAGAACTGTAGATTGTTTTTTTTAGATGAGGGCTTACCGCTCACCTGTGCAATGGAATTAATACTTCCCATTCATTACTGAAAATAACTTGTTTGATACGTCTTAGGACTGCATCACATTGGTTGTTCATCATCCTGTGGCCAACTAACGTACCCGGATCTTTATCCTTCTCTGTCATTTCCAACTGAGCACCCAACACAGTGCTTATTAGAAATAGTATTTCTAGTAGTATTTTCTCCAGCCCAGTAATTCTCCATTCAACACAATCCATTTTTGTTTCCTATTTACCCAATTACTTACTCATTTACAATCCTTGTACTAAACAGCTTCTCCAGTTTAATGATTCCCAATGTGATACCATATTAAATGCTTTACTGAAATCCAGATAAGGAAGATTTGCTATGTTTCTCATATCTAAATGATGTAATGCATCAAGTGGCATAGGGTAGGGATCTTAAAATATATGTATTTGTGTAAATGTGCAACTGTTGAAATGTTTAGTGGTGAAATGTTTACATGCAGGGGGACAGGAGGGAGCTGGTACTTGCAGGGAGCCGATTCCCCTGGAGCATGGGCTCCTGTCTGCCCTCCCCCCCCATGCTGCTGCCTCTTTGGGAGCCAGTGGGGCAGATGGAGGCAGCTCCATGGGAGCCTGCACACATGCCAGGCTGGATTAAAAGCCAGCTCCCCACACTAAGGATGTTTAATTATCTGGTTAATCGTGTAGTTGAAATTTGACTACACTCTTAGTCGATAAGAGGCCACTCTGCAGAGCCACAGCGTGGGGCGGGAGGGTAGCTCACGGGGCCGGCTGGAGCCGAGACTGAGCAGTCTTGGCTTGTGCAGGCTCTGGGTGCCACTCATGTTGCAGCTTTGCAGTTTAATTGTAGTAAGAGCTGCCGGGCCCCCTGTTGAGACCCCTGTAGACAGGGGCTGCTGCCAGACCATCCTCTGCCCATGGCGAGCCTCAGCCCACCGCAGGCAGAGGCTACTTCATAGCAGCCTCTCCTAACACCCCCCACCCCAATAGAGGCAGCATGCGGAGGGGGCAGGCAGTACCATGGAGACGGTTCTGGGGGGAACCCGTTTTTAAGCCAGCTCCCCACAGCACTGGCTTCTGTCCCCCCTCCCCCCGTTTGCTGCCTCTCATTTAGAGGCATCGGGCGGGGGAAGAGAGCGAGTAGTTGAGTATTCCACTTGACTGTTCACTAACATCCCTATCCTAACAGCTCCCTCCTCCTCCCCCCCCACTGCCTCTGATGCAGAGACGGCAGGTCGGTGGGTGGGGGGTGTGTGTGTGTAACCATGCTGGTTAACTGATGAGTCCAGGCTTATGAGTTAACTGCGTGCACGAGTACACATTAACATCCCTAGTATAGGGCAGATTTTCCTACCCATCATGCTGGAGATTTCTGGTACTCTAATCTACTGGTCTAAAGTATCTTTCTGATCCTAATCCTACCAGGTGATGAGATGCCCAACTTTCACTGAAGTTAAAGGGAGATAAAGAAGATGGATGTTGTTTCTTTTTATGTGTAAGGAATCATCAACTGGAGGAGGAATGCCAAGAGAGCAGCACTCTTTTGCTGCAAACGTTCTCATGAGTGATCATTTTATTGGCAGTTATTAGGAAAGATGCCATCAGCTTGGATAGCTTGATCCAAATCACAGGAATTCAGTTTGTAGAAACTTAAGCTACACGTGCACCCCTACCTTTCTGTTTGTTAGTTCCACTGTAAATCATGAATTGGTATTTGTTACTTGCTTATTTTATCTGGGATGCAAATTCTTCTGCATACATGTACAACATGAACAGCAGAAAAGGTATGATTATAAACTCTGTGTAACTTGCCACTTCTATAGCTGAAATGATTGCTTTCCTAGTAGTTGTGCTAGAAGTCAGATCACTGGACAATGCACAAACAGGACAAACAAAACACTTGTTGTTATCAAACAACTCCAGCATGTCAGGCTAAGGGCTTGAGGGAAGATTTAACAAATCTCGACAGCTTCTTTAACAAACTAAAACCTGAAAGTTAAATGTTCAAATGTTACAGCCATCAAAGTTTCCAATCTCCAGTTAACTTAAACTCGCATTTCCTTGTTCTGTCCTCTCTTCCCAACTGCCACAGAGTCTCTTGAATATGATGTTCCTGTCCACGGCATTCACCTGCAGTCTCCAGCATTCTCATTCAGCTCAGCTCATGTTTCTCCCTGTAGATGGAGGGACATGTGAAGCAGCCTGCCCTCAATGGCCGCTCCCTCACTAACTTCAACCCACAACTCAGCATTCTCTGTATTACTGGCATTCCACAGCTAGATGGCTTGCCAGGAGTTCTTGCATCAAAAGAATCAGAAGCAGAGGAAACCGGTATTACAGCTTCAGTGAAAAGGCAGAGAAAGGGGAGAAAAAAGCCTACATTAGGTCTGTAATGTGACTTTGGAAAGCAGAGCTAGGCATGTGTGTGGTAATCAAAATGACAGGTAGCTTATGCAAACCTCCTAAACATTGATTAGCCAGCGTTTAGCAACTGTGCTTGCCAAAACCAGTTTCATTGTGTAGCTCTTGCATAGAGTCTCTGTGCTCATGGCAGACTGTCAGAAACACAAAGTATACAGAAAGCAGAACATGGTGTTTTACTCCCCATTCTCTACCTCCCCTTTCCTTCCTAGACGTGGCTGTGATGTGTTAGTGTTTGCAGTGCTGTAACTTTAATTGAGCACCAACCATTGCAGCAGAGACATCTAGTGTTTACTGGGCTAGTGCATTAATTGAGCTTACCTCAGAGCAAGCTTAACCAATACATGTGTAATGTGTAAACGCATGTCTTGCCCTTCCGAGTGGGGAAGACTACTTGTTTTTGTGTATTCGCATACACAAAATAATTAAAAACAATGCCAATGTAATGGCGAGGCTGTGGGTTGAGGATTAGTAATGTTGAAGCAGTGTAGCTTTCCGTTTTCAGATAATGGGTTTGAAATCAGTCTCAGATTAGTTACACAATTTTAACATCTTCCGTGATGAAACACCCTGAAGGAGCTCAGCTTTGTCTTTGTGAAGAGATGTCCGTACCATAGCATTTGTTGCCTCCATCTGGTACAATTACCACACTAACAACTGACCCACCCAGGATTGAAGAATTGTCATGGATGTGGTGCTTCCCAGTTAGAATCAAGGCATCTGGAGAAGCTTTCACTATGTCTGCCTGTAGTTACCTGTTGCCATCCTGGCATGTTTCTCAAGTATTACATTTTAAATTTACTGTCAGATACCAGAATTAATGCTAGAAATATGAATTGACCCTCTGAATTGTGCTTTAGACCCTGAAAAGTTTTAGTTTGCTCAATGTGGGCTTAGGTAAGCTGTATCAAACTGCTATTATTATTTTGGATGGCTCATAAGCTTTCTCTCTCTCTCTCTTTTTCCATGAAGGATTATGAAGCTTTCTTCGAAGCTAGAGAGAATAATGCAGTGTATGCTTTTTTAGGCTTGACTGCTCCTCCTGGTTCAAAGGTAGGTACTATTCTGTATTGTTTCAGACTAATGCACACATCTTTTATTTACACTCTTATCACAGGGTGGTTAGCTCTTTACAGACTAACGGCCACAGGACCAGCCAACCCTAGTTACTCAGCAGGCATACTTCAGAAGGCATGAGATGATTCCACTGTAAAGAGCAGCAGGAAGTTGCAGAATTGTAGGGAGTGTTCGAGGAGGCAAAATTAAAGCAGGTTGTGGCAGAGGAATTGCAATGAGCTCGAAGCTCTTGCAGAAGACCAACCAATGTTCTCTCTCATTTTTTCCATCCATATGTGGAATACATTTTGTTGTTCAGACATACTGAGGCATGTGAGGATATGCACCACCATTAGAAACAAATGCTGCCAACTCTGGCACTCTGCTAATCAGCTGGTTGACATTTGAATCTTTCCCGAGTTGTTTCCCAAACATTTAGTTTACAGGAAACACCTCAAGAGACCCTTTGCTAGTGGGGAAAAGGTTTGGGCCTGGATGTCAAAGGGCTAAGAAGAACAGACTCTAGAAACTTATGGGGAGTTGCCCCAGCAGTGAAAGGCTGAGAATGGCTTATGAGAACAAGGAGGTTCCTCACACAGCTATGGGGTGATACAGGCAGTCCCCGAGTTACGTGGATCCGACTTATGTCGGATCCGCAGTTACGAACGGGGCTTTTCTCGCCCCGGAGGACTGGAGTGGCGGGACGCCCAGATGCGCTGCAGTCCCACCGCCCCCGTCCTCCGGGGCGAGAAAAGCTGCTCCCCGTCTCTCTGGTCTGCAGGGAGACCGGGAGCAAAGCCTTGGAGCATGCCCGCAGCGGGACAGCCCAGGCGCGCTCCGCGGCTTTGCTCCCCATCTCCCTGGTCAGCAGACCAGGGAGATGGAGCAAAGCCATGGAGGACGTGGGTGGTCCCGCCACCCGCGTCTCCCTGGTCTGCTGGGGAGGGGGGGAGCAGCTAGTGCCCCCCTCCCCCAGCAGACCAGGCTTTTCTTGCCTACCCCTGGGGTAGAGCAGCTGGGGGCTGCCGGGTTGGTCCCTCAGCGCCGCTCCGGACCAACCCGGCAGCACCCCAGCTGCTCTGCCCCAGGCATCCCCAAGTCAGCCGCTGCTGACACTGACCAGCGGCTGACTACAGGAAGCCCGAGGCAGAGTTGCTCTGCCCGGGCTTCCTGGAATCAGCCACTGATCAGTTTCAGCAGCAGCTGCCTTGGGGCCCTCTCAGGGTCTTAAGTTGAATCTGTATGTAAGCCGGTATTC